GCCAGCTTTTTTTCTCTCTTTTTTTTCTTTCTCCCTCTCTTCTTTCTTTCAGAAAGCAGAAGAATTTGCTTGCTAGACGACCGGTCACTCAATACTGGTTATATTTCCATTTGGGCCATGCACGCATGCAACATAAAGTAGCATATTCGAATTTGTGATATCAATCATGCAGTAATTTCAGAATTACTTTATAATAACCAGTCATATGGACAACTATATCAAAGTTAGCGAAGTAAACGTGCCATGTTTATCACCTTTTCCGACTGAATTAACTAGTGGTACGAAAGAAATGGTAGTGAAGGAAAATACTAAATTCAAAAATATTCTTACCTTTGTGGATAAACTTTTCGAGGTATTATTCTGTGTAAACATCCAAACATGCTTATTACTGCTATTATGTTTTCATTTTTTGTTTCTTGTAAGTGGTAACTAATACTTCAGCTAGTTTTGTTTTACTAATTTATTTTTTTAATTTGCAGCATTTCATTTTTTTTTTTCTATCTAGGGAGAATGAGCAAAATATTTTCCTAAGAATCACTATTTTTCTATAGTGATGTTTAAATTTCTTCTGAAGAGGATTTGAAATTTCGTTTTTGTAGCTCTTTTCTCCTAATTTATTTTTTTGTGTTCGAAATATTATAACTTCATATTATATTTCACCAATTATTTTAGGATACAAATTGTCGGATGGTAGTTTTCAAGGGAGTTGGAGAAGCTACGGCAAAATGCATTTCATGTGTGGAAGTGTTCAAAAGGAATTATAAGGTCAGCTCTAACACTTCCTGTTTCCATTTTCAAAAATGCAATCCACATTCTCTCCTGTTTCTTCGTTGTCTTTACCGTATCTATTGTTTTCACTGCCAATAATTGATCTGAATGTCGCCTTCGAAAAAAACTTTTCATTTCTAATTTTGATTTTCATCAGCCTCTAAGGTAGAACGTTAGGATACATCATAATTTCCATCTTGTTTCCTTTTTTTAAAAGCATTATGGTTTATTTTTATAAGTAATTGATGCTTACAGGATGGAGTGCTGTATCAGTGGAACAAAATACTATTCACACGACGAACTGATTCTTGGTTACCAACGGTTGAAAGTTTAAGCAAGTATACTTCTAAGAGTATTATTATTTTCTAAGTACTATTAATGCCCCTCTCAGCTTCTCCACCGTTACACAGTAACTTGGGTTGAAATTGTGAGAGAAATAGACGGTAAGAGAGCTTTGTTATTTTCGCTTTTGATAATGTCGGAAAATATCTGCCATCAGTTTTGACAGTTGGGACTTTGCTATCAATGTTTCAGAATACTCGTCCATGTAGATGTTCCAACGATTTTTATTTTGATTTCCAAGGATCCTTTTCCGGATGATTGCATCGATGAAAGGTTTAATTTTGCAGATTTTTTAAACCACTACTGTATAAAGAAGGTCTCAGGACTACACAGATCAATTTATTTCATCACTATCGATTTTTAAAAAATATCCAGCATTTTTTTGATAAATCCAAACCATCACAATTTCCTTTCATGACCTACTCTTCAGCTATCAGAATTCATCTGTTGAAACAACTGGATTTACATCCGGCAATGGGACGATTCCAAACGGGTTAGAATTACGACAACAAAAACCAAAACTTTCGCGAACATCAGGGCCGAACAAGTGGAATAGGCCACCCAAAAAAACTATAAGACACAAAAACAGCAGCCTGTATCTAAAGATAAATCATGACAGAAGTCAAAGTCTTTTGTTGTATCAATGATTTTGTAGTGTATTCAAAAAACTCCGGTTACTTTTTATCGTAAAGCTTTCGTGCACAGTATTCTTATCCCAAAGCTCAAAGCTTTCCTATAAAAAAACATTACCAAGTTGCTCAGAATTTTAATTCTTATGTCCAAAAGATGTTTGATGTGTAATTAAATGAATTTCCATAAAAGAACATGTATTTATTTCATGGTAAATGTTTCTACCAAAACTTCTGTTATTCAGTAATTTCAAGCAAAAATTGGTCTTTTACAAATAAATTCAATTTTTTAGGACTCTTGAATTTCAAAAGAGTAGTTTTGAAATTTTGATAGAGAATTATTTAGTTTGATATGGTGGCTGATCTCATTTACATCTCAGAATTTCATAATATGCACCACATCATATGTCACCAAAAGATTTTTTATAAATATCTTTGAACCTTCACAGTGATAGATGGGAACTCATCAGAAGAACCAGTACTAAAAAGTTGGATTTGTATAGATCCCACCTTGAATCCCATGGTGACAAACCGCAAACTTCAATAAGCGGAGCTTATTGACTATTCAATTGGTGTTTGTTGGCTGCAGCTATCAATGATCATATCATTTGGTCATTTGGTATTTGGTTTTATTTGATTTGATTTATTTTTTTTGATCATTTGGCTGGCCTGGTCATCTGATATATCGGAAGACTAGCACGCCAATTCTTATGTTCATTATCCGGATCCGAAATGAAATCATGTGAAGAGGGCGAGACAATAAACTGAATGATTACTTAGCGAAATTTAAACAATAAATTGGAGCAAAAATAACTTCGACCAATAAGGAGAGTCCTAATTTCATGCTTGATAAGTGTTGTTAATCACCTTTTTTATCACTTCTGACGCTAATAGTCTTTATCGCTGCTCTCCCCCAACCGTTAAGTAATTAAAAAGTTCGGATACACTGATATGTTCTACATTGTCTGATAACGACATCGCTTGCAAATACTAAAACGCTGCTGTACTTCTAAGCATAATGTTGACAGTGTCACTCATCATTGTCCTTTTTCTTTTCCTCTATTAAATCTTCATTGAACAAAATACAAAGTAAAGTAAATGCAACTTTTATGAGAGTTGTAAAATTGGTTGATCGTTATTTGAATTACCGTAATCCTGTTTGGTCGATCTAATTGCTTTTCAAGATAGAGTTCCAAATCTTGTTATTCAAAAACTAATTCCAGTCATTTCTCTCAATCACTGCCTTCTGTTGTATTGTCAACATTTCTTTCCTATAGCATTTGCCGGTGCTAATAACTATGACCCTTTTGTCCATCTACTCGCCACTACCCTTCGTTTTTTTTTCCCCCCTCCCCCCCTCCTCCTTCACTTAATTTAGCCATTTGCATCGTCATCCTTCGCCATCCGTTGGTCTTTATGGTCAAATCATTGTATCTTCATAATTGTTTACTTGCATAAACTAATCGTATTTTTTCACTGTTTATCAAGAGAATTTATTTTGGACTATGTTAAAAAGATATACAAATTTTTGGATGAATGTATTATTTTAAGAGTCCTGATATTATCTGAGGTACCATGGAAAGGTTAATATGTTTGATTATGCAAAGGTCGGGGAAAATTTATTCTGATGACTCATGATTAAAATTTATATCTGCTTTAAATCAATAACATTTATTGGAACGTTTCGGGTAGTTGTATTAAAACTGTCCTTATCATTTCTATCAATTCAATCCACTCTTTTCCATGCTTCAAATATCTTTCTTATTTAAAGATACCATGAGAATGATGTCATCTTTTTTTTTTATACACTAAACTCTTAATTGTAATTAATAATTAACAGAAATTTGAAGAAATTTCGGAGCAGATTCTTTTCTTTCCTTAAGATTAAATTTAAATTATTTAATAAAATAGATGAATCATACTATGCATGCAAAATGCTTTTTTATTGGCAATGATGGTAGCAACTTCAATTTGGTTGACCTTTTGACCTTCTAATAGATACACTGTGAAGTTATCGCCACTTTTTAGTGTCTAAGTCTATTATCTCGATATCTTCGTTTATTTTTGAATAATTTCTTATTTATTGGATATCATTAGAAATCCATAAGCATCCGGTCAGGCATATATTGCATTAATGTTAATCGTTGACCTTTTGACCGAGAAGAAGCAGTATCCTAATTGAACATAAGGAAACATGTTCACTCGAACATGTTCACCTTTACTTTATCATTTGACTGATAGCAAGTTATTTTATTTCCGGAAAGATGGGATAGTTTCATTTTTAATTTCAAAAATTATCTAGAGATCTATCATGGCGCTTATTGTGACTCCACAATGATGTCTTCCTGTATTTCACATCTGTCTCTCTCTCTCTCCCTCTCTCTCTCTCTTAATTCGATGTCACTTCAAACCAGTCCATTTCAGGTTGACTCTACTACACTTTACTTTTTTACTTTTTTTTTAAATGAACACTTTAACGGATCACGAAACATTAAATGGGATGCAAATGCTAATCCGCGCATATTTGTCTGCTGTATCCATCTGCTCCTCGCTATTATCCGCCTGTTTTCCTCATCAGCGCAAATGTCTTTTGCATTTGTAAGCTTTTCTCATCCATCATTTTTCTCTCATTCTTCAAATTCATTCCTGAATCGTTTGGAATTAAATCATTTCTTTCTTTTATTTTTGTTTATAAAAACGATCTTTGTACTATTGCATCAGTTCTTATTCATTCTGACCTTACTCATCGAGAAAGTACTCAATTAATTGCGATAATATTAAGTTAAAAATTCCACAACTATGATTATACTCATTAACCTGGCAAAGGTAAGACTACCGATGGAGAAGAAAATGGGAATTGTAATTATCGCTGATTAGTAACTAATAATTTCCATTAGATCTATTGTCCGATGGGGTAGTTGATGTCGTAAATGTGCATGGTACGTACGATTTGATGATATCATCGTATTTTTACTATGGGAAAATGCTGATACGCTACACTGACTGCAATTAATTGCTATTTGACGATTTATTGCTGAGCTATAAATATGATAATCAATGGTAATGATAATAATACTAATAGCAATCATATCGATTCATCTATCTTTACTCATTCTTCTTCCAAGATGATGGTCAACATGGTCAGTTACTTTGGTCAAGAAGTGGTTACAAGATGGCAAATGAGATTAAATCTGTTTCCTATGGATAGCTGAAGTTTAATTGCCATACACCTTTATGCAAATGTTGCTGTAAATGAATTTCGTTGGTGTAATTGTTTCAAATCGACATTTCTTCCACGATTGCTTAAATCTTGAACGATTGATTTAATCGTAGTAATGGTTAAATTATGTTTTTATTTATTACAGTCTTAATCACAACTTATCTACTGATTATTAGTAAATAAGATGATGATAAGAAATTGAAATTCCGTTATTAAATGAATGAAGAAGGCCTGTTTCTCCAAAATAATAATTTGACCTTTTACCTATCGATCACTCTCTTTTTTTTTTAATCTATCATAATCCTATCATCACTCTCTTTTGTTTTGGTGAAATAATAATTTAACCTTGTTCATTCATTTCAATTTTTCATAATTACCTTATTCATCAATAAATAAAACTATCACCGACTAATGCCATCTTTTAAATTTTCAATTTTTTTTCTTTGCTTTTGAATTAATCATTTATTCATAGCTTCGAATTCGACTACTGATCTTATCACATTTTATCTTTTTCATACTAATATGATTCTGTTATGTGCATCCTATTGCTCGCAAATTATAGTCGTATAACTTGATGAGTAAAATCCAGTAATTTGAACGGATAGATTAGAAATATTTGGAACACCTGGTTTTCGAAGAAGAATTACGTTTGTAAGCTTTTGAGCAAAACCGTAGATTCTGGAATATTTTGGTGATAAACAAGTGTACCTGTACCTGTGAATCTGCTGTTGTTGAACCTACTGATTATTGTGACAATCACTTATCTGCTTACTTTACTGATCCAAAAATAGCGCGGAAAAAAATTGGATGAAGCGTTATATCATCCAGATTTTATACAGGAAATAAATCTTTGTTAAAACTTGGAATTATTGAATGAAATAGATTAAAGTGAATTAAAATGAAAATAGAAATCAGAAATGTATTGCTTTAATGTTTTTATTTGTTTTTAATATCATCAATCTCTGAAAAGCTAATAGTTTTTTTGACGGGAATTTACTGTTATCATTTTGTCAACTTTGTCAACTTCCTAATTTCAAAAATTGGTTTATTCCGCTTTAGTCTACAAGTATGAAGTTTGAAGTTTAAATGAATTTCATTTGCTTTTGATAAAAACCATTAAAACGTTATACAAGAAATGTTTGATAAACATGCATTTGGAATAATTCTTAAATTTTAATTTCAGAATATTTTTATAAATTCAATCACTGCTTCACACTTTAATATGAAATATGTAAATTCATAGTGGCAAATGCGCAATGACTGAAAGTAAACTGTTACTGAGAAGATCATCCGTTGATATACCTTACGGTTTTATCATACGACATATCTCATTTTATCCATCTAAGGTATATCATTTCTTCATTTAATCATTCTATCTTCTGAATGCCATAATTATGAATTAATTAGTGAGTTTAAAAGGAGTGACTTCCTGAATATTAAATTTTAACTTTTAAATTTTAAATTTCATACTTAAAATTAAAAATGAAACATATAATCTGATTAAGCAATATAGCCAAATGGTATTTATCAACAATTAAATTTAATGTGTTGATTACATCACTGAGTTAATTAAATTCTGCAAATAAATGATTCAATGAATAGATTTGGTTTGTTAATGGATTTTTTCGTTTACAAATATACCTTGATATAATTTATCATTATTCCAAAAAAAATACTTTAATTTCTAGTTATCGAATTTTATGATACCATTTATCTTCTCAGTACTCTCGAATATCCCGCGATATTTTTGCATTTATTTCCTGAATCATTTGCAATGCTTTTATTAGGGATGGACTTTAAAACTATTCCTTCCCCGTATCAGAAACTTAACAATTCAAAATATTGAGTTGATTGAATTTACAGTTGTGTCGTTTGAATATCTCACATTTCTGAATTTGATAAACAAAATGACAGAATGTTTCTTTTTGAATTTAATTCAACAAGTCATAGATTTTTTCCAAAAAAAAAAGCTAACTATTTTCATATTAAAAATCAAACGATTAGACCGACTGGTAAGGTATTTCAGGGCAGTTCAATTGAGGGGATGAAATGTCCACAGAAACCATTTTATGTCTTAATAATTCTAAGTGTGAAACCAGCAAGTGTGGCGGATAAAGCAGGTCTACGAACTGGTCATCAGATCATCGGAATGAATGGACATGGTGTCAACCGTTTGAATTACAGCGATGTTTGCCGAATTACCGAAAGGTTATTTAAGTTTGTGGTTAAATTTTAAAATTTATTGGGACATACTTCTTTAAAATAGACTGCAACTAAATTTTCATGACTAAGCAAAGGTCAAAGTCTTATGCATGTGTTTGAATTGAATGAAGTGCAAGATAAATGTAATACCTTGAATTGGCTTAAATTTTTAAGGATGGATGAACTTTGATGACTTTTTAATCCAAGTTAACCATCTTGCTTTATCAATACCGTTTTGTTGTTGAGTGTCTTAAAAATGACTTTCATTTAAAAAAAAAGAAAACGACTAATCAATATGTATGTAATTCTCATAATACTGAGTTATTTTTCTTCCTATGAAATTGTCCAAAATTATAAAATCAATGATGTCATCTGTCCCCAACTATCGTTTTGAATTACTCCATTAATCAAGGAAACTGGAAAATTTTCAACAATCGGAAATTGTATCAAAATAACTTTCGTACGACAAAATATTGAAACTCATGGAATTCTTGCAATGTATTTCGATTTTTTTCATTGATAAGTGATTTTTAATTAGAATGAAATCAATTAAACTAATTATTAACACTATTATCAATCCATTATCAATTATCAATTCATCATCAGTTATTATTAATTCACTGTTAATAACAGTAAATTGCAACAACAAATATTTCGCATCAATTAATTGTTCATTCTTACTTGTTTACTAGCCGCATAATTATCAATGAACTAATCGTAAATGTTTAAGGTTCATTTACAATTATGATAAATTATTCCCATGAGAAAGAGATAAATTTTGGATAAGAAATGATAAGGTAAATCAGTAATAGCAACATCTCTCTCTCTATATATATATATATAGCTAATCTATTTTCAATTATAAACGATTGATTCAAAATTTAAATAAATTATCAAATTGATGACTGAATTATAAATGGATTAAATTTAAAAAGTAATCAATGATCGATGCTTTATCCTTTACAAAATCATCTGAAATGTTAAATTTGTAAATAAATAAACAAATAGACAGACAAGATAGAAACACATTACATTCATATCTTTTAAATCTATCGTAAAATGTCGTCGATTGATTTATAAACAGATACATTTGGTTGAGGTTTATTTATCTATCCATTCCTTTATTTATCTGCCCTATATTTAATCTTCAATAATACTATACATCTCTTATTCTTTCCGTTATTTCTCTTTTCGTTTCAATGATTTGCTTTACTTATTAGCTATACTTTATTAAAAGTAATTTCAACTCCCCTACAACTTTTTTTTTCTTGACCTTTTCTCATTCTATCTTTTTATAACAAAGATTATTACACAGCAATAGGTCACATATATGTCACTAAAAAAAAATATTCTTTTCCATTTGTGACAACATTGTAATTTATGTTCAATTGGTCACATAGAACAAGCGGTCATCTTTTTCCTTCATTCTTTTTTCCTCATTATCCACCACACATATATCATCATCATCTTCATCACCATCATCATCATCACCATCATCATCATCATCGCCATCATCGTCATCACCATAAGACAACAGCACTGATTCGCTGTTGTATTATATCATTTCGCAAGATCCTATCTATCTAAATCTATTTTACTATCTTTGTTATTATTTTTACATCCTAATAAAATTTCATTCTGTTAATTTTAATGATAATTCCATTCCTATCAATGTTTTATCTACTTTTTTTAATTTTAAAATAACAAATTGAGCGTTTTAGCAATTTGCAAGTTGTATTGACTGATTTTAATCGTTTATCCAATAGAAGCTTTAGCTAAAATTCTAATCGTTTGTTTACATTTTGATGGTTTGTTTACTGATAACGAAGCATTTTAATCAATGATAACAAGACTCGTTTAGTAAAATTACTTATTTGCTTGAATGAATTATTCTTATCAGTGGTCAACTTCCAAAATAGCTTCACTCTTATTCATTATCAGTTTATGATATTTGGTTTTTTTTTTCGTCAAAAATTTTTGCGTTTGGTTAAACTCATGATAGTACTTCAAAGGGATTATATCAAGGTTACAGAGGAAGTACCGCTATATCGCAGAATACTTTTTCCGGTTGTACCGCATATTGCAGTGATATTTTGGTTGGACTGATTTATCGCTTATTCATTTCATCATCTTATCAGATCCTTGAGTATTTCTATTAGGTTAGTAATATTTTAAGTAAATCATATAAGTAGGCAATTATGAAACTTTAAAAAAGCTTAAAATATTGATAAGTGTTAATGTTATCAGTTATTTAAAGAGTCTATTTTGTGTAAAATTAAAATGAATTGAAAGAGGATGAGGAACAGACAGATTTACCTTTTCTGCCTATCTTTGTTAAACGTATTGAACTGTTTGCATGAATTGGTAGTTGTTATAGGACATCAAAATAAATTTTCAAATGAAATGGCTTTTCAAATCAGTCATGTTGAAGTGTTTGAAGAGCTATTAATTCGAAATTCTTCTTCAAAGGAAGATTCTGCATGTCCACTTGTTGTCCATCGTTGACCATTAAAATACATAGCATTACATTCATCTTAACATTTCCAGTTCCTTTATGCAAATTTGGAATTGCAAAAATGCCGAAACTATCATAAAATCTCATTTGATCACTAATCAACTGATGCTAGTATGGAGGAATATTGCTGAATCTTTCAAATTATCAACAATCATAGGATCGATAAGACAATAATGATTTGTTGGCTTTTTTATGAATCATGCTTTGGCCAAGTTTTGGAAATGTCCAATTTCAATTGTATTCTGGCTAATTTTATTGAAAATTTATTTGATAAGCTAAGTTTCATTTGACTGTGATGAATTTATGCCCAATGAAAGTTATCATTTGCTTCGAAATCATTTTAGAAAACTTTGAAAGAACAATTCATCGTCTTCTTTTCCTCTTAAAAATGTATTGTTTATTTGAAGCGATAAGATTTTCTTCTTAATTTCAAAAAATCTGAAACAAATAGTTTTGTGCAAAAATTTTAAAATCATTTTAAAATAGAATAGGTGTGCTACAAATGAATAGGACAAAGGGAGGGATTGGAAAAAGTGGTACCCATGAAATATCGATTCGAGATTAGATATTAAATGAATAAATGGATTAATTAAAAGGATGTTTCAAATGGGGTATAAGAAAGTACGTGACATATATGGCATTACCAATTAGGGTTTCCTGAATTTGTTCGTTTCGTTTAAATAAAAAGAAATTGACAATGTCATCTATGAAGGAATGAAATTAAAAAATTTGAAATGATTGGTTAATACTTTCTAATTGATTGAATTGAATGTAGATTAACCGGAGAGTAATCAAAAAAACCGGATTCCTTAAGCGGATTAGATGGAAAATCTCTACCTTTTCGTTCAACAAACAGTTTATATATATATATATATATATTAATGACAATAACGTTTACCTTCAACGATTTCCAACGTTTAGTTACATTTGCATTTTATCAAATAAAACATACATTCTATTAAAAGAGAAGTTTAACGGTTATCAGTTTTTTTTTCCGGTAGTTAATTCAGAATTGCATTGTTGAAATTGAATGATCCCATCTGAACTTTGAACTTTATTAATTTCCGTACTATTAATTACCGTACTACTTTCCCGTACTATTCCGTTTAATCATAACTTCTTGAGGGGCATAACGTATTTTTGAGACGAATTTACCCTTCCAATAAACTTCTTAAAGGATTTCAGAGCAAGAGATATGGTTGCAATAATCTAAATCTATTCAATACATTCATAAATTCAACCTTATTTACCAAGTAAATAAGGAATTCATTTGGGTCATTAGATAATGTTTGATCTTATTAGTTCAGCAAAATTTCTTTTATATCCCAAATATTCTTTTTGTTAATGATATAGTAATAGTAATACATTATGGAAGGGTATTAAGAGAAGGAAGAACAATGAATTATGCATCATTTTTGGACAAGAAAGAAAGCGGTTGTCCGTTTCCCATCAATTTGTGGGGAAGCGTGGGAGTATGCTTTTAAGGAAGAAAGGGTAAGCGAACATTTCCGGAAATGAGAAAGCCGCGAACGGAGAGCAATAGACAAATACTGCTTGAATTAATTGTCTCATTAGTGAACAACAATAATGAATCATTTCTTCCAATCAAATTTCCCGTAACATGTAATTCCCTGTTTACGGAAATATTTACCGATACTTCCATCATTTTTCTATTGGAAAGGAAATATTTAATTTAATTTAATTTGAATTTTGCTTAGTATTTATTTGTTTGAGTTATTTCAACTTTTCCCAAATATTTTTACGTGATATGTAAATAGGTAAGCAAAAAAAAAGATTGCTTATGTAAAATTACGCTCTGTAAACATAAATTCGAGACAAATATCCAGGAGAAGAAGATAAATTAGCTAAGGAATCATTTTTATCCTTATCATTGTAGTGGATTGGAATTGGAAGTGATGGTTGCTAAAAGAATGCATTCAAAATTATCGATAATCAAATCTCTCTCCGAGGATCCATTAATGTCCACATCTGTCACCAGTATTGTCGATGGTATGATAGTTACAACTAAAGATGCGGATATTGATGATCTTCAAGGTTTTCCATCATCAGTAATTGTGGAAGGTCATTCGGAGGTAACACTGAAAAATCATCAACATATAGCAGGAACATCAACAATACTCCATTGTCCGGTAAGTGAACTGATTTCGAAAATAGTGTCATTTATGGGATGATTAATACTGCTATGATCGATCTATTTGTCCTAATTTTTCTACCCGGCTGAAAATTTCCCGGCTTTTCGGAATGATTTCAATCCGATTTTCGCAATCTTCTTCTCTTTTCACATCATTTCAATTGATTGTATCAATTTTTGGATGGAATTTTCACTTTGAAATAAAGCAATAAATTTTGAACTTTAAAACAAATTAATAAATCTTAAATTTTGAAATAAATTAATTGATCATATAAAGATTTCCTTGTATGGAAACTAATTAATATCATATCATAAAGATGATTTATCATTGATTGTTGATTATTTTTGTTTCTGATTTCTTCTTTTCCAATATTCATCAAAAAAAGTTTCTCCTTTCATTTGTTACTATCATTCTTTCGTATCCAATTTTAATTTTTTATTATCAAATTGAATTTTTTCGTTTTCATATCATATTACATTACTTGTGACGAAATGGATTTTTCTATCCATGAAATGGATTACTGATTAATCTGAGAGCTTTGTAAAAACTGATTGTCGCTAAACAGTAAAATTTTCCCCCCCCCCCCTAATGATAAGAATAAGGGATTGAATAGTGATAACAAATTGATAACAGGATAAATGAATTGTTGTTATGCCCAATTTTCTATCTCAACTATTGTTTAACTCTTATCCAGTCCTAATTTGATATTAAGTAATCCATTAATGTCAAAATTGAAATGATTGTATGATCATTATCAATTCATTATCTGTTGTTAATTTATTATCGTTATTCAATTTCTTGTTCTCATCTATTAGTAGAGATGAGTGATTTGAATAAAGTTAAAAAGGTATTATTTTAGATAAGCAATAATAATAATTCAGCACTTGTTTTTGGCTATAATTAGATTGAGCCATGAAATAAGTAATTGTGAAAGGCACTTGGCTTTGACACTTGGCTTATTTAATACATAGAATCTCTTAATATTAATGGATTAGATTTAATTTTACATGTAATCTGACAATACTTTTCTCTTCATGGATCAATAACTTCATCTTTCAAAGATCCCTTCTATATGTATTCAATAAAAGATAAGTATCGAATCAAAAATTGATCATTATGTTTCACTCTTCATTTTATGCAGAATTATGGTATACTGTTAATGGTATGGGAAGAGAAGAAAGCAAACCAGTTTGTCACCCCTGTTCTGTCACACGAATTCGATTATTTGTTAACGAATTCAATTATTGAACATTGGACATTCGATGAAAATTCAATAATACCGCTGCATATAGAAACGTTCTTTTTTTTTTTCTTCTATACCATCACAATTTCAAAAGGCTAATTTCTTGACTCTTTTAAATTTTAAATTTCAAACTTTTGAAAATCTTAAATTAGAATAGTACTTAACAGAATACGAAGGATAGGATAGAGAAGATGGGAGAAAGGTTACGTCATCGTATGTTCTCTCTTAAGCAATTTACATGCAACGATTTAATTGAAATTCAAATGAAATCTCTTGTTTAGCTGATCATAATGTATCAGTTTAATACTTGAGTATTTTCATATTCTCTCTTATCACTGAGAATTTTGATGAATCGATAGTTGGGCAGTTGTCACAGAAAGGTTTGTTGGATTGTTTTTCCAAAAATTCCTATTATAAATTCCAAATTAAGTCCCTACAATATGTCCTCCAAATTTACAGAAATTACCAACCAATATTTTTATGCATTTTGAATGAAAATTTGACAAGAAATCTTTCTGTTGAATGCTCTCTAATCTGCTATTTATGATTGATCACTAATTGTGTTTTGGGACTTCTGTTTTTTGGCGCAAATGTTCTATCTGTCAATTTTTCATGTTATCTGTCATTTCATTTTAATCATCATTTCTCTCTTCTTTTGAAAAATGATTCCTTTCATCGATCTTTTCTTATCATTAAGGTTACTCCTATAATCAATCTTATCATCAATTTACTCCGATAATCAGTTCCTTCTTATCATTAAATTACTCTTGTAATTAATTTCTTCATATCATCAGATTATTTTCAATGAACATTTCATGAATCATGCAACTGTCTTTACATTTGACAATCAAATGTAATGCTATATTAGTGTTAACAGTTGTCTTTCGTTGTTAATTAACACTTTGATGATGAATCATGCGTAACATGTAATCTGAGTTTTGGAATGTCTCAGTCTTGCGCTTCTGTCAAGTTCAGTGAAAAAAGTGTCATTATCTTTTTCAAATGAATCATCGAAATGATTTATAAAAGATTTAAATTTCCTTAAACAAAAACAAAAATATTGTCACTTTCTTTTGCTGTTATACTTTTCTTATCTTATTCAGTCTTTATAAATTTACTCACTTATGACTAATGTCATTTAATTTTAAATGACATACAGGTAAAGAGTATAATGCCATGTAGAGAATTGTCACATTTGATTTATAATGTCTAATTTTTTTTTCTTTTCCCTGTGAATTACCAATTTTTATAATTAGCATTGAAAAGAAGTTTTTTTCTTTCCTTTTTAGTGGTTGAAACGAAACGATTTTTGCTTTGGAAGTGCTTTTTCAAACGATGAATTACACAATAAAAATGTTTCCATACATCGAAATGATATGAGGTAATTTTATCACTTTATCACTAATTTACTGCCTCTCTCTCTTTCTTTGTCGAACATATGAGTTTATTTGTTGTAGGAACTATTTCCTCTGCTCTGATTATGATAATATAATTTATCATTTTTATCACTTTACAACATTTTCCACATTAGTATGTATTTTTTTTTCAAGTGGGGAATTGGTTTAAGATTGTTAGAAAATTACTAATTTTTTTTTTTTTTTACAAATCTTTTTAGGCACTCAAATTCCAAAGCTTTTTATCTAAATGAGCACCGCGAATTGAAATCGAAAATGATCATTGCACCAAAAACGATTATTCATTGTGAACATCTGGCACATCGTGCTGCACCATTAGCACGTACACGAAGTGCGCTGCAAATTTCACTTCAGTCATCTGCGCCATCATCATCCTCATATGAAGAGAATGCAAATCTTCAGGAGTCTGAAAAGTTGACTGCAAATAAGTGCAGTACGATGCAAAAATCAATTCCAAAGTTCAAAAAAAATATGGTAAGATTGCTAGCACGGGAATGTAAAAAGAATAAATTCCAGTTTTTCAGTTTCAGTTTTCCGATTTTTTTAATTTTCGATTTTCAGTTTTTAGTTTTAATTCATTCAAAATCATTTTTCCTTGTGAATCGAAATAGTATGGTTGAATTTTAGAATGTTTATTTATGCTTAAAACTGAAGAATTGAAATTTCAGATGCATTCCAATGAAATGTCGCATAGTGTCACGACAACAACTGATAGCAATAATAGTGGTAATGGTAGTTGTAGTAATACATTGGATCCAAGAAATCACAATTACTTACATTTAGCGCCAACAGGACAAACGAATCGCTTACTTTTGCAACACTATTCAAATACCGCTACTAGTTCGTCTTCATGCTATAGACCAGAGGTTTTTCTTTTTTTTTTTTCTTTGAGAGAGAGAGGGAGAGAGGGACATTGCTTGAATGTTGTCGAAAATTTTACGAAGTTTTATAATTTCATCTCTCATTTTGTGTCTTTTTTTCTTTTTTTTTACTTTGTTGACATGTATTTTTGAAGTAACAATTTTTGGGTGAAAGTTCAAAGGTTATTCCACAGATGGTAAGGTGAGAATTTTTATCACTCAACAGGAATGCATTTAATAAGGAAAAACAAATTTTTTTTTAATAAAAAGATGAGAAATTTGAAATCAAAATTTCAATTCTATCGCTTTATTCTTTCAGTGATGTTTCGTTTACTGACTTTTCTATCTAAAAATTGGGAAGTTTTTAAATTACTAATTGCAGTAAATTTTTTACCAAAATGTAGGAATAGCGAAGTCTAATTGATGAATGCTAAGGTGGGGAATTTTTTGAGATATGAAATGAAGTAGTTAAGAAATGCTACTGATAGAATTTTACCAAGTAATCAGGAGATGGTCCTGATAGGAATTTTGGCAAGTATCTTCTAATGTGATTATGATTGCTGATGAAAACTGAAATATGCTTATGCAACGGAAATGCGTGCGTGATGTTAACGTAATAAATTGAAACGTAAGCGAAAAAAAACGAGCTGTAAATGAAAAATGAATTAGACGGAAATTTGACGGGATTGACGAAATGAGAAAAATGAAAAATAAGTATTATCAAAAGTAATAGTTTATTTTTTAGTTAAAAAATGTGAAATGTTTTAGTCGTTAAGAGTGAAATTTTTGTTTTTATTTTTTGACAAGTTGGAATTTATTTTTTTGAAATGATTTTATCAATTTCAGGAAAATATGCGAAATGATTGTGAGAATGAACAATTTAAGTATTATTCTAATCAAAACAAAAGCTCTGGTAAGCAGAGAAAAATTTTAGAAAAGTTTTAAGAAGATAATTTTACAAATTTAATTGCTATCCTTTCCCCTCCAGGCATTATTCATTCCTGTTTTATTTGTTGAGGACCTTCATTTCTCTGTTTTTTTTCTTTCCTCAAAGACCCAGTGGATTTTCTTTAATTTAAATTTAAATTGGATTGTACCAATGCTCTCTTCATGCAAATTTCTTTCTAGACATGACTGACACTTTTTCTTGTCCAGAAAAATTTTTTAAACGACATGTCGTGCGACAAGCTTCATTCTTAGCGGCTGTTTCACGTGGTAATTCTCATCGATGTAAAGGTAACAATTGTGATTGTTTATTTAAGCGAACAATTTATCATTGTCCCTTTGTACTCCAAAATCTTTAAATCATTTCTCAACCTCTGGTATTCATTTATTGCTTAATTGATAATTAATAAAATATGCCTTAACCTTAAGCCATCTGTCATTTTTTTAATGATACGAGTTAAGTATGTCTGTTAAACAGATCGTCATTGAAATAATTACATTACACCACTATGAATCACTTAATTGAAATGAATTTCATATCTGTTGAGTTCCTTCAATTAGCTATATTGTTGTAGAAATTTAAAAGATCAATCAATGTTACTCTTTTTCCTTTCCATAATCACTTGATCTTATTATCATTTCTGATAAATTTAATTTAATAAAATTTTGATAGCATTAATTGTAAAAATTCCCTCTTTTATTTAAAAGATTTTTTCACAAATTTGTTTATTTTTTGATAACATTTCTGTAATTCATCCAAATTATCATATCATCATTATATCACTTTTCCCTTTAGAAATACGATCTATTTCCATTCATGATTTACGATCGAATATGAAAATTTCAAATGAATCCCTTCTATGGCAAGATACTGGTAGTACCACTCATTTAACCCCATATTACACCAATACAATAAGGTCAAATGAGTCATCGTCAGCAGCTATGTCAGGATTTTCCACATATGCTTCTTCAGATAATAATGAGATCAAAAGTTATTCAAATATTCCACAACATTCAACATACTATGTAAGTGATTGTAATTGATATCTTTTCATTTCAAAACAATAACTTTTATTTATTCAATAACTTAAGCGACATTTACAACCATCGAATTGATTTAAATGTAAAATTGGAAAAGAAGAAAAGAAAAATCATTCCCTTTATTGTTTTCATCTTTTTCAAAATTTAATACATTTAGCATCTGGGAAGCTTAACATTAAGCATAGCTTCTTGCTTTCTTATTATATGAAATTTGATTTTGATTACATTTTTTCCATCTAGAAAAGTGCAGTTAGCATTGATTATTTCTCCATTTCAGATTACTCCGGAAAATAATTTCCTGAATGATACTCAGAATAACAATTCCTTAAAACAGGAAAAGCGAGATATTGAGAAAATTTCGAATATTTCAAAAATTTCATTATCTGATACTACTACAAATAAGATTTGGCGACAAAATGAGAGCACTTCACTAAAGTTAACAAATAAAACTCTGATCGATGTACCATCATCACTTTTAAGCGGTAATTCTTTTAAAGTTGATCCAATTGGAAGAGCAACTGATCATTGTTATAGGATGAAGAATGTTCTAACTAAAAAGCAATTTTCTCTTACTGATCAAGACTTGAATGGTTTGTTTACTTTTTATTTAAACCTTTTTTTTCCTAAAAATTCATTTAAAAGTTTTAAAAAGACAAAGGAGAGAGAGAGAGAGGGAGAGACAGTGTGTCAATGACAAATTTGACAAATTTAATGACAAATTTACGTGACAAATTTATGAATTTATGATTTATGAATGACAAATTTATGAATTAAGATTGTCTTAATGAAATGAAACAACTTGTGATAATTTAACATCTTTTGTACCATTAGTTATTATTCTTTTGTTTCTAATCTGTGGTGCAATAGGACATTTAATTATTAGTGGAATTATCTATCGACTTACTCAGTTTTTTTCTCTTTTAAAATTATTGGAAACTTTTCGTTTCATCCAAATTTCTTTTTTGGATGATATTGGTACATTTCTAAAAGAATTAATAATATTTCTTAAATAAATTTTAGAATAATTAAATTTGATAACTTTTTGATCTTTTCCGATACAGTTACTCTTTAGTGATTTGAGAGAGTTGCCGTATTAAATGATCAAAATTTCGAATTTTGCGAATAATAATAATGATGAAAATGATAATATCTTTGCTAATTAATATCCTAATTAGCTGAGCAGAGGATCTGCTTAATATATGGCAAATTTAAGATTTAGGAGTAAATGAAATATCAACAATAAAATCTCATTCTAATTAGTTTTTTTTTTCTCTCTCTCTCTCTCTAATGATTTCAAGTAACATGAAAATTTGTAAAAAAAAAAAAAGGATGAAATTTTAGTGGAATTTCACGAATCATTACAATAAAGAAAAAGTTTTAAAAAAAAATGCTTCTTTTTCTTTAAACTAAAAAGAAAGAAACGAAAAGGTAATAATTTTCAAGGATAATGATGAAAATTATCGTTCTGATTGGGTTGAATTACTCTAAAGATATGTACATCTCTTGTATAATTTATGCCAATTCTTTTTCTAAAATACAATTTTAAGCATGCATTGGCATAATATGATCTTTCTTTTTTTTTTTTTTTCAAAAATTTGATCATAAAATTTTGAAAAAGAGATAGCCAAAATAGGTTATTAAGATGATTCATTTCATTGTCAAGAATAGGGTATAGATGTGGATCGCATGAATTACTTGTTATCATGCCTACCAATAAAAGAATGAAAAAAGGTAAAGGTGTATTTAAAATTGTCAAAAATTATATTTCATAGAAATAAATTCCAAAAATTTAGAGATTTGTCAAATTAAAAAATATTCTATCCATGGAAAGAGTGACTTAACCAAAAGCATAAAGTTGCTAATTACGATGACAATTTGATTTTTTTTTTTCAAATGATTATAACTTTTAAAGGAAGCGATAAGATTATTTATTGATGATTATTTCTTAATATTATTTTACAATTAATATATTTTATATTTACAGTATTGATTTAATTTGCGATCAACGATAGATCAATGATTTTATGCAATTATGAAGGAAATCATAATTCCTGATATTGATTGATAGATAAGAAATATGGATAATTGATCATGATTACTGTGATACATTCTTTTCCTTTTTCTTTTTTTGCTACCGTATTGAATGGAAGTAAAATAAAACTTATTTAGAAGGCATAAAACAATTATTTTTCCTAATTTAAATGGATTAATTTTATAGGAAACTGGAATTAAAATGATGTGAAAAAGATTGAAATGACAAAGAAAGGATATAAGAAATTATATAAATTCTATTCTTCCATCATTTTCATATTTTCCTTTCTCTCTTTTTCTCTCTCTCTTTCTCTCTCTCTTCATCACTTTCCTTACATCTCATTTAGCAGCTGTCATTTTTCGACTAAAATTTTTCACTTCAATCACATCAGTGATAAATAGTGATGTTAATAAGAGAGATAATCATGATTGTGTCTTACTTAGATCATCTTTCACATCCTATTTCTCCATTTTTCTCTCATCATTTTGTTATCTTTTATATTCTTTGAAATTTTGATTTTAATTTTAAGCTAACATAAAAATCAATAAATGGATTTCATGATTAACTTAGGAGATATATCTTCCATTTTTTATCATTCCAATTTTTGCATATTCTTATAGCTTAAGTACCATCTTAAAGTATTCCAAATTTTGACCTGAAATGAATTATATATATGTTATCATTATAATTTGTTAACTTATAACAATAAACATGTGGTACATACAGCTTATCGCAATTATAAATGAAGCTTGATTAACTCAGATATGATATCAGTATGATAGTAAACATTAGGAGCTGTTCCGGATGTAAACTATCATCTGCTTTATATTGGAAATTTTAATTATGACCTGTTCACAAAATTTATTGTTGAACATCTGTGATTTGCATATTAACTGATAATTTTCAATTTCTGGAAGGGGAAGGAATGGCGGATTTCTTTGATGATACCGAGTTGTTAGTTGCAGAATTATGTTCAATTACTGCAAGCATTTTGCAAATGAATATTTTGGGAATAATCGATGACCTAAATTCGATCAAATTTTGTTTTAGAAATGATACTTTTAATGATATATAATTTGATAGTGTAAGATGACAATTCCGATAACTTTATCTTTTTCAATAATTATCACCATCTGATATGTTTATGTATTCGTTCTCATTAAAAGAACCGCTGGAATATTCGATGCGATCTTTGTCTTCTTCTCTTGGATAGGGTATGATTACGTGTTAGATACGATCTCTGCACACCTCTCTAAAAACTCTTATCATATCACTATCATCAAATCATTCCACTCACTCTATTAATTTGATTTTAGGTAGAAATTGGATAATATTTTTCAAAATTTCAATTATTCAATAGTAGTTACTTCAGTTATTTCATAAATGATATATCTGTAAACATTTGATAATTGTTATCATAAAAAAAAGAACTGTTTTTGTGTAATCATTAGGTGTTAGGGAAATCACTGTTATTATCATTATCATTAATAACTCAGTTACTTCAGTTCATTTCTCACTTCGTTATCATTTCTCTTACTATTAATATTCATTGTTTGACAAAATATTATTTATTTAATTTTCATTTTTAGCCAATGCAAGTTTATTGCCAACGATAAACACGGATTACAACGTAAAAAAGCGCCTTTCACGTGCAGCCTCTGTGGAAGCATTCTCAAAATATGGTAAGTATATTATTTATTAAACTTATTACTACTCATCAATTTTCCATGGAGAGATTGTTGTCATTGGTGAATCACAAAAGATTTTGTTGACCAATGCTTCTTGACGAAAGTTTGTAATGGATGAAATCAAAATTTCGAATTTTATTGGAAGAGAGAGAAGAGGTGGAATTCCTGACATGATAAGTTGTTGTTGTTGATGATGATGATGATGATGATGATATGGATGGATAGATTAGGATAACTTGAAAGTCTGAGAGTTTCCATTCCCAAAAGGAATTTGGGAAATTTTTGGAACTTTATAATTTGTCAAAATAGACTCATTGACATCGATTTTTCGACGATTTTAGCTGCTGGACATTGTACTACTTTGTGCCATTGATGTGATAGAGCAGAATTCGAATCACTGCTATATCGCTTTCTTTCTTCTTATTTTTACTATTTGCTAAAGTTTTGCTGTTTATGAGTAAAATGGACATTGGGTGTTAATGAGTAAAATGGACAAATGGACAGTGTTAATTAATTAATTAGCATGAAAAATGATGGGAAAGTATTATGAGAGAATGTTCAGAAGCTTTGAATTTCCATTTCCTATGTGAAATACTTTAACCTTCGCAACATTAAAATACATTTTTAATTATTTGATAGTTTTGTACAATAAGCGCTTCTGCTTGTACAGTTGCGCTGCTGACCCGAATTTCATAAGAGATTATTAGGCATTGTTATCACTGTTCAAATGTTATCACTCTATCAAATATTCAAATTTTGATGATATTTCTTTGTTTATTACGTATTCATCATCAGTGATATTTCTTCTAGATTGAAATTCTAATTCCTCTTTGCAAAATAGCTTCGTTATTTAGACATTCTTAAGTAGGATGGTTTAATTAATAGTAATTAATATTGTCAAATCTTCTACATCTATTGTAATAATGGTTAATTAAAGCTATTCTACTTCTTTCCTTGTATTATCCAGTTCTAATCATCTATTTTTTCCCTCATTCACTTTAAATCATAAAATTATTCTTCCTAGAAGTCCTTCACTCGTCATTTTGAATGGGAAACGATGGCTCTAATTTATAATGACGTAATTGACGTAAACGATTTCTCATGAAGTACGCATATGTCAGAAGCGCCTTCAATCTCATTACCGCCCATTGATTCTGATTTCAGTCATGATATTTTGTAAATCAAATTATGCTTACCAACTTAAATGACAGCTGTGCTTTCGATTACTTTGTAAACAACTTTGAATTAATTCTCACTTACGAACGATTATTTCAAGTGTTCTC